ATGTGGGTGTCATTAGTTTCAAGAGAGTCTTACGCTCTCAGGTGAATTTGGGCACATTTGACTAGTAAAGATATACGTTGCCCCGAAACATTCCCTAGCTGGGGACTTAAAAACAAACTTAAAATTGGTTGGTTAGGTTTCCCTACCGTTTGTACAGAAGCAGTCCAACGGAGAGGGCAAGTTAATTGGGGCGTGTTAACAACAGATAAAGTAGCCCCTACGAGGGCCTTAGTAGTTTCCTCTTTCATGGTAATTTTATTTTCTTCTAAACTGTTAGTACGGAGAAGGGGAAATGCCCTCTTGTAGTCCTCAGAGCAGCCCTATGCTCCTTATGGTTTCTTTTCTTTTTCCTAAATCCCGTTTCAGTTTTCTACAATCCTTCTTAAGGTGACTTGGCTTTTTACAACAAAAGCAGACTCCTCTACAGCAGTTTCCCAACAAACCTTATTTGTAATTCTGTTTCTTTGCCTCCAGAAACCAGTAGATATATTAATTGGAATACAGCTATAGGTCAGAATAACCAGAATTATATGTTCTAACAGTTAAATTTCTTTGCAAACCCATCAGAGTCCTGGAGAAGGTTGGGGAAATCTTTAGCTAGATCCCTTAATTCTGTCCTAGTATGGGAAGAATAGATTATGCCTGGTTATCCTTGTCCTGAGACTGACTTTTCTCTAAAGGAAGCTGCCAGACTTTCTAGCTTGTCTTGTTTTTTTTCTAGTCTCTCCTGGTCTGGTTTACTGTTGTGAGTGTTGCCTAGGTCCAAGGGGAGCTGTGGTGGAGGCCGTGTAGAAGAGAGAGAAGGGGGAGGAGGAAAGGGAAGGAAGTCCGGACAACAAAGTAAACAGTAGAGCAGGGCACTTGGAGAAGAGGGAAGAGTCGGGTGTGTCACTGAGCAGCTTCAGAAACCTTCTCTAGTTCAGAAACAGTCTCTACAATTTTATTATTAACTTTCTGGAAAGAAGAAGGTCTCTCTGTGCCGTTTCAGAGGCTTCTACTTGCCAGTTGAGGTAAAAGCCTCTCATTCATTCAACTTGGTTTTAGAGCCAACTTTTTTTCTCTTGTGCATACAAACATTATTTTAGGTGTCAAAAGAGCTCCGTTTTGGCTATCTTAAGTTGATATCACTTCTGGTTAAACCGTCTCATTTCTTTAAGTGCTTGCAAGTGAAGACTCCCATCTGCTGGAGTACTAATGGGGGCTGGGGTGGGGGGCCATCGGTCTTGGAGGCACCATTTCCCGTGTTAATTTAGTTTTATTTTGAGATCTCAAGAGTCTGAACAAAATTTCGAGGGATACTGTGTGGGGGGTTGAAGTGTGCTGCTTATGGGTTGAGCTCCAAGGGGCTGTGACCTCCCAAGTTGCTCCGGGCCTCTGACGGTCCCAGTTTCTCGCCCTGCGGTCTAATATAACTGTGAGTGCAAGGCAAACGGCCTTTGTGTGTGGGTCTTGAGATGAGTCAGTTATTTAATTACAGTAGCGTTGGAAGTCCCTGTGGGGTCCTGCTCCTTTGGAGGGGTACTCTTTGACACCTCCACATTGATTCTTACTAAGAATACCCGAATTTCAAGCTGGAGGTAGTAAATGCCCCTTATCTTTGGAGCTGCACGAGTTCAAATTCACATTTATCCAGGGAAAACTTTTGTTTAGACTCACAGTAAGTAGTTCCAGTTGAAAAGCCCAAATTTCAAATCACCTGCCCATTTCATTTTTTCCCTTCTGTCCCTGAGTTATCTCAACCCTTAACCTTCAATACCACGTCAAGGATTTTTTTTTTTTTTTTTTTTTTTTAAGAACAGTTCAAATTAAGATGGGGCCTCCTATCTTAAAACAAGGAAGTCTGGAATTTTAAGAAAAACTTTCCAGACTCACCTGATGCAAAGCAACGAGCTGGCGGGGTACAATAAGCCCCTGCTGGCAGCTGGCCCGGGTTCTGGGTCTGCAGGGCGGTGCTTGGGTGGGCGCCTTTGGTATCAAGCTGACGGTGCCTAGTAAATGTTGACAGAAGAAACATCCAAACCTGTAGAGAATTTTTATGAGTCTATTTGTGTCAAAATGATGACAATTGACGGAAGGCAAAATCTCAGCAGATTTGAGAGAATGCTCCAGAGAATGGCAGTTTTTCAGTTTATGTTATACCTGAGAGTCAAAGGCAGAGATGTAAGGAAGGTTACATGAACTCCAGTCACGGTAGATTAACAGGGCGAGAAAAAGCAAAGCCGGGGCACAGGGGTGTGGGGGGGAACCTCTGGGACTGGATAAAAAGGCAAAATAGAGTAACACATATACTTTTTTTATGTTGGCGGGTACAGCACCTAGAGATGGTATTCGGGGCACAAAATAGCACCGAGGGGCTCTGTGGGCTCCTGCGCTGGTGCCGGCGGCTGTGCCCTGTGGGGTCTGGGGAAGGAGGTTTCTCTGACATTTCTCAAGTATGTTATCTCACATGCAAAGAAACGATAGACAGGCTCACTTACGGTAAAGAATGACTTTTGTCAAGGAAGCTACAGGCATGACTACCCACCATGACTTGCTTTCAATTAGGAATTTTTATGTTCCCATGTGGTTACTTTCAATCTCTGAGTTTGCAGGGCCCACCATGCGGGCCTCCCCTGAGCTCACCGGGTTTATTGTGCGGCCCCTTTCTCATCCACATATTAGAGACAGGAAGACAAGAACCTGGCAAGTCCACACTTGGTCAGTGCTTGCCCTATGTCTCCCTTCACTCAGTTTTCTGCAGCCCCCGTTGCCCGATAGAACTTTCCATGAGGATGGAAATGTTCTCTATTGGCCCTCTCGGCGTGCTAGCCACCAGTCATCTGTGGCCAGCAAGTACTTGAAAAGTGGCCAGTGAGGCTGAGGAGCTAAATCTTTAAATTAATTAAAACTTAAATAGCTGTATGAAGCTACCATGTAGGCTGGCGCAGCTACAGAGTCAGCTAAAAATGAACTGAGGTAAAGATCCGTCCCACTCCCCTTGGGACCTAAGTGCTTCTGTTCCATTTTTCCAGAGCTGCTACTGAATTTAGTGAGTAGTTCACAGCGTCCTAGTGAGCTACTTGCACTGGGTTTGACCCAGAGCAAATGATGGAAGGAAGTCACCATCGCCGGACAAAGCCATGCTCGGGCCCAGGTTTTGGGAGCAGGGACAGGTGCAGGAAGATGCTCCATGTGCCAGATTGATAAGGAGCTTTTGACTAAATAGCAGTATGTAATTGCCATCAGAATATGTGGATACAGGCACATTATTGTTCAGCAGATGCACAGATGTTGATTTTGTCTGAAAAGAACCCAGGTGCCGATTTTTTTTCCCCCAGATCATGTGTCTACTCGCCACAGTGCAGGGATACACTATATCTGGATATATTCAAACTGACAAAATATTAAGCGCGTTCAGTTTTGAAAGTATTGTACTGAGCAAAGAGATAGGTACAAAGATGATTAAGAGACGGTTCCTGCCAAAAGGAGCTTGCAGCCTAGGAGAAGATCATTATCTATTGAGTGTTACGTGCTAATAAACATCTTTCATAATTTTCACTTGATCCTTAACAACAGCCGTGTTTAAGGGAGGCATTGTTAGATCCGTTTTAGACATGAGGAGATTGAGACTCACAAAGGTTAAGTTACTAGTTCGGAGCAGCACAGCCACTTGAAGGACAGAGCCAGGGTGCAAACCGGAGCCCGAGCCACCTTCCTATTTCTCCGGGATTGTGGTGAAAGCCTCCTGATGAGCCTCCTCCCCGGTGCTTCAGACCTCGCCCTCTCACCGTGCCCCTCCTCTGCTCAAAGCCCTGCAAACGCTCCTTCTTTCTCACCGAGAGTAAGAGGCAAGATCTTTACACAGGCCTCCAAGAACCTGTATTATTCACCCTGTTACCTCACTGCTCACTCTCCTTTACCTCATTTGCTCTGCTCAGACGATACCACCTCCTCTCCTTCTAGGGCCTTTGTACCACTGGGTCCCTCTTCTAAGAGCACACTTTGCCCAGGCAGCTAAATGATGTTATCATCCCCTGCAAGTCTCTAAATAAGTGTCACCTTCTCAGTGAGACCTCCTCTGAAAATGCATTCTCCATCTTCCTCGCCCGCTTTATTTTGACTTTTGTGACCTTCCGATGTATTTTATGTCACTTTTTGTTTACTGTCTGTCATCATTTCCCTGCATGCATGCATGAGTTTAAGTTCTATGAGGGCAGGATTCCCTCCCCTCACCCTGACTGTGTTCACTGCATTTTCCAAGCACCTAGATGATGCCTGATACAGAGTGGACGTTCAGTAGATGTTTATTGACGGAAGATGAGTGAAGCTCAGGTTTATCCAATTTCAAAGCCAGACTCGCTTATATCTTTTATATTGATACAAACTCATTGTTTGGGCCTGATAAGTTGTCCTGATTACTTTAAAATGCATGACTATGGGAGAATCAGAATAACCCGGACAAACAGATGTTGAGCCGACTTCCTTTAGTCTTGAGATTAGCCTTGGCATAGTTCTAATGAAGCAGTCATTTATAAGCCTAGTAAAAGGTTATCTTTTTCTTAGAAGAGGGACCCTGTGGTACAAAGGCCCTAGAATGAGAGGAGGTGGTATGATTTGAGCAGAGCAAATGAGGTAGATAAGAGTGAGCGGTGAGGTAAAAGGGTGAATAATACAGGTTTTTGCAGGCCTGTGTCATTTATTGGCTTCTCATAAGACCAATCAGACGTGGTCAGGAATTGTTGACAAGATTCCACATATGAAGATATTGCTCAGCATTGAAGAGTGGCTTTTGTGTGTGTGTGCACGTGTAACTTTGTCATCTACAAAAGCAGGAATATTGTGCTCCTTATTTCCAGCTTTGTTGAAGAAAGACATACCTGGGTGATTAAGGAACCTGGTACCTTAGCCAATATGTTCAGTGAGTAATAAAGGATGTGGTTTTAGAATTAAGCTACAAGTTTTACCACCTGATATTCAAAATATTTAATAGAAATCATATTTTTCTTTTTGGAAAAAAATAGGTTATTCTTGATGAGAATATGACTTCAAATTGTCCGGAGGTCATCTATGAAATTAAAGAAGAAACACCTGTTTTTTACAAACTTGTTCCTCATCCTAAGAAGAATATCTACATCTATCTAACAGCTGGTAAAGAGGTAGGTAAAAATACTAGTTACTCCTTCTGACTCATGAATAAAAATTGTTTAATTGATGTCATTATCTAGTAGCAAAGCTTTTACTTTGAACTACCGAGTTTAAACATTGCTGCAGGCTTAGAGAAGACCGGCAATGGTTCACAAGCACAGAATTAAAAACATTACTGTCAGTAACTAAGCAAGAAATATTACCTATTTAGACAATTTTATTATTGGCTATATTTCCAATGCCAAGTTTTGCAGAGGAGGGTGTGCTTGCAAATAGGCGCATAATCAGCAAGGTAACTGAATTTACACATTTATTGTGTGGGCACTGAATGGTTAGATGCATTTCTGAATATACCCAGTGGGATTGGCTTTGGAATTTGGGGTTAATATCAGGCCACAGTCTCATACACATTCATTAACCAGGAAATATAGAGCACTTGCCCTCCCTCTCTTAATTTACTTGGCTGTTTTGGTTTTTCTTCTTGCTTCTGCTTACTGAATTACAAAGGACACCTTTTCACATTTTCTTCATTTTTACAAAGTGCTTCACTAAGGGAAGGGAGAAATAAACTAATTTTTATGGAGTCCCTGAGGTGCATAGAATTCTGTACACACATATATAATAAACAATGTTAATGGAAAGCGTTAATAATTTAATGATATAAAATTACCTTTGTTTTATATATGAAGAATCTAAGATTTGGAAACATTAAATAACTTGCTCAAGAATATACATAGGTTAGACCTTGTCAGAACTAGGACTTAAATTACACCCTGATCTTTTAAAGCCCATGATAAATGAGATCAAGTCCTAAATTTGTGAAAACGAAACAGGCCATTCTGGCATGGTGGTTTTGACCCATGATTATTGGAACATACAAAGTGCAAAGAAGATCATTGAGACTTAACGTAATTATATAAGGGATGCAACAGATGCTCTTGGTCCACCCCAGTTTTTCATTCTGTTCTTTTCCATCATTCTAAGGACAATAGCAATGACATTAATCTACATGTGCTGTTAGAGTCACAGAGTATGTATGCAAGCACTTTGTAGTTTCTGGAATTCCTAAAAGGGCCATATTGCTCTTCGCATGTTAAAAAGTCAGTTGTGTCAAAATGACCACATAAAGATGGCCACTGGACCTCATGTACCTTTGTAAACGAGTTCTTCACCATATAGCATCTTCATGACCAGCTTGCTTCCCCATTCAAAGATTTTTTATTATATTTCTTCCCCAAAGTTCCCATATTGAAATATTTTTGTCTACACAATAAACTGCATATATTAAGTAACAACTCCCATTCCCGGGCTTTATTCATCAAGGGTGTCTCCAAGCTAACAGCCAGAGAGCTGGCTGTGCTGCCACACAGAGCTGATCAAATTCCAGCCCAGCACCCTGACACCCGAAGCCTGGCTGAATCCGTGCACGTTTTTCCATTCAGCTTTTTAAAACATTGCAAATAGCTCATACATCTTCATTACTACCCCCCACCCCCACCCCCGGAACTCAGGACAGTAGATGGGAACCACTGTGAGAGCCTGCAATAGCTGACAGGTCCTCAACTTTCTGAAGGTAAATTATTCTCATCTCTGGTCATTCAAAACCTGAAGCCCTGAGGGGAGCTTTCAACTGCGCATCAAAGCTGGTTATTCATACATTCTTCACTTAGGTTTACTGCTAGAGATCTTATCAGTAAGACTCTGGTTGGGCCTGGATACCCTGAACAGAGATAAAACCTAAGGAAAGCCCTTTCTTAGATTCTTGGGCAGATAGCAATAGCCAAACTAACATGTCCTGGTTCATCCATAGAATGGTGTATTATTATAGCCATTAAAGATAACCATATGAAGATAGATACATTGCTGTGGAATAGTCACTGTAATGTGTCCAGTTGGAAAAGCAGGTCCAATGCAGTATTTATTGTGTCCTCTCTTTTACATGGAGTTACATGTTTGTGTGTTTAAGTATATTGTATGGTAATTCTTATAGAATATTCTAACTAGGTTAATAGTCCACTAAATGCTCTGATCAGAAGTTGTCCTAGGAGCAGATGTTACTGACCACACCCCTTGGAGTATCATTATGCTGGGCGTATTCAAAGGCTCTCGGAAGCCTTGTGCTATGGAAATCTATTTCACTTTTTCAGTATAAGGTTTCACATGTTTGTAGGACCATGGAAACTTTCCTCACATAATAGCAATAGCCAACACTTATTGAGCATTTAGTAGGTGCCAGACAATGTTTGTAATAACCCCATGAAGTCTGCAATGCAATCCCCATTTCACATTGAGAAAACAATGTTAGAGAGATTATGTGACATTTATGAAAATCCCCCAGAATTGAATAGCTGTTTTGTGAGCTACAAGGAAATAACCCACATTCTGGTTAATTCTGGCTCAGGCTGGTGGTCTGCGCAGCATGTCCATCAGCAGCACTGAGAACTGTGAAGTGGCGGGCACGGTCATCCTCCGTGAAGTCAACTTAGAGTCAAAAGACATTCCTCAGGGGAGCTTGTTCTCCTCATAACCCCCTTCTTGAGCTCTGTTTCTCTAGCCTTTTATGAAGTTACTTATACTTTCTAGTACCTATAGCTTCCTGGCTTAACGAGTTCCACAGTTTCTTCACTGCCTGCCATGGCTCTCTGCCTGCAGGAAACGGGCCGTGCGGTGCTCACGGCCTGCCTCCCACCACCCTGCTTCCTGCTCTGCCAGCAGCCTGCGTCTGCCCAGCACGGTGCCTGCTCTGTGGTCTGCTATTTCCTGACAACTGGAAGAGGCAACTCTAGAGTGTGGGAATGATTTGAAAACGGCCCCTGTTTTATTTTCAACTCCATTGGAGGGGGCGTGAGCCAATGGAGCAGGAGCTGAGGTGATGGAGCTACCTCGGAGAAGGGTGTGGGAGGGTTCTCCTTGCCTCGCTTCCACGGCCGCTGACAACCTCATGCTCCTCCTGGATCAGAGCCTTTTGCCATTTCCAGATGCTCATTTCCAAAGCACTGTTGCCTGCCTATGTCTATATGAAACCAGCTGACCTGATTCCGTGATCCCTTTCCAAATCATCCTTGGCAGATCAGAAACCTGGCTGTGTATCAGACTCATGTGAGAGAGTGCTTAAAAATACAGATTCCTCGGCCCTGTCCTAGGCCTACTTAGCTAGAGTCCCGGCAGCAGGTGATTCTGGGAAAGTGCTTCCTACTTTGGGACTTCAGACACCCTGCCCAGTGTCATTATGGAGACATTTAGAGTTTGAGCCAATAAATATCTCTCTGTGGCCCTTTATCAGAAAAGGTGTGGTGGTTTTTCTGGTGTTGCTTTTAATTCCATCTGAACTGCCGTCATGTTTATTTTTAGGTGAGGAGAATTCGAGTTGCAAACTGTAATAAACATAAATCCTGTTCGGAGTGCTTAACAGCAGCAGACCCTCACTGCGGTTGGTGCCATTCGCTACAAAGGTATCTCCTGAATTCTTTCTCACCAACTCACATTTTCAAAGAAGTGTCACGAGGCAGAACACTTGTTGCCCAATATTAGCAATTCAATCCAATGACCTGGGGGAATTGATCTCTTTGCTGACTAAAATATCATTGTGTAATGCGAATTAATTCCCAGATATGTCCCAGCCATGTAGGTGCTTTAAATCATTTGACCCAGACCACTCAGGGTTGCCCACTCTCGGGGTGGGAGGGGCAGGTACGTGACATAAAGGAGGGTAGCCTGGAGCTGTCAGTCTGCTTTTACTTTCTACGGAGTACGGAGTTCTCCCTGGTGCGAGGGAGAGGTGAAAGGTGCTCCCTCAGGGGAGGTAGAAGAATAAGGATGTTTGAGATTTTTTGAATGAATCCTTATAATGTCACATACTTAGTTGGTGCAGTGGAAGCCTTATTATTGATGATGTTGTCTCCGAATGCCATACAACTGTGGGCCTGATGTACAACCTCAGGCTCTGGGCAGAATCTGCCCAGCCTGGTCTTGAATTACGATGCTCATGACCCATCAAGGCTCAGGGGCAACTTGGAGCGGCTTCCTCACCATGGTAGCTCCTAGCAGCACTGGGATCGGCCTGGTTGGATTTGCTGTTGCCATGGTAACCCAGTACTCAGGCTCTCACTATAGAAGCAAGGAGGAGAGAGCCTGAGCTGCAGCTCAGGCAGAGGAAGAAAAAAAAAACCAACCCTAACAGTGTCTGTCAGTTTGGCGCTTTCAGTTTTTAAAGGTAAAAAAGGATAAGAAAGAGTAGAACAGGTGCAGAGAAGCTGAAGGCGGAACAAGGGGCAGTTTGGAGGAAGAACAGAGGACTAGGAAGAGAATTTGGGAGCCCCTGAAGGCGGAAGCCAAGAACAATGAAGGGAGAGGAGGAAAATACAGTGTAAGCAAGAGGTTCAGGAAACGAACTAAAAATATGGGGATGGAATTAAGAGTTCACGGAGGAAGTCAAAAGCTGAGATGCCGCAAGACACATAATGAATGGCCTGTGCCTTTCACTGCGCTTCCTTACTGGGCTGTTTCTGTCAGAAACACTGGCAGACAAAAGAAGCAGGACCAGGAAGAATCTCATGAATACTTGTAACTGGGTGGGAAGGTTTTCTTCTTGTCGTTTGCCCAAGAGTAGAGTTTAGGAATTAACTGATCATGAACAACCTTTTATCGTCACACACCCACTAAGCACTTTTGCTGTCATCTTCCTGGTCTGTCCCACTTGTGTAGGTACTCTGTCTTAGTAGAGCTACATGCAGGAGTTTATTCAGTGACAGTGGTGGTGATGGTGGTTAAATAGCCACATATAGCTAGTGGCTACTCAGTTGGCCAATACAGGACATGGGAGATGTCCAGGCTGGTGACATGAATTTGGGTGTTTGTAGTGTTTAGGTGGGACGTAAGGAAGCCTTCAGACCAGACGGGGCAGAGGGTGTAGATTGAGGGCAGGAATCATTGAAGAACTAAGCATTGAGGTGGGGCGATTCTTAGGGGTCAAGAAGATGAAGAGGAAACAGGAAAGGGAAGAGAAAAAACTGAAGAAGGTGGCCCCTGGGAAGCCAGAGGAAGAAAGGAGGAGGAGATGGTCCACTCTGTCAGATCACGCTGAGCGGTTAGGCAAGAGGAGAAGAGGATTGATCCACTGGATTTAGGAAGTGACAGTTGATGACTGTGGCAAGGACAGTTGGGGAGGTGGTGCTCAAGCTGCAAGTGCAGAAACAACTCTTTAGAGGAGCTTGCTGAGAAAGAAAGCAGGAAGCGCTGGAGGAGAAAGTAGAGTCCAGATAGTCTTGCTGTTTATAAGCAGCAAGAAATAGCAGTGTGTTAGGGGCTATTGGGAAAGGTCCTGTAGGGAGGGAGAAACTGATAATACAAGAGAAGAGAGAAAATTTTGGAGCGTAGTCTTTCAGCCGACGAGGGCCAATACGATCTAGTACACCAGTGGGGAGGCCAGCCTCAGAGAGGAGCGTGGGGCAGCTCCTTCTTGGCCATGGGAGGGAAGGTGAGAATATGCGCCCGGGAGCAGGTGGGTGGTGGAGGCTCATACAGTGTATTTTCATATTGCTAACATTATTTTCAGTGACTTAAGACAAGTGAGAGTGAGAAGAGAGGTAGGGGGTGGGTTTAAAGGGAGAAGAGAGAAGGTGTGAAATAGAGTGGGAGAAAGAATGGAGATGGGAAATAGAGAATGATTGCCAGGAAACATTAGGGCCCCCCTGAGGTCAGCGGTCATGCTTTTGAAGTGAAAGCAGTAAGCGTGGTTTTGCTTTTCACAAGCCACGCTCAGTTCTGTGGGCGAAGTCACAGAGAAGGAGGGAATTCGGTAGAGCCGCGGTCGGGGCTTTGTCAGGAAGTACCTAAAGAGGGGACGGAGGGGCCTGCGAGCTGAGGGTGCATGCAAGGGGTGTCCATGATGTCGATGTGGATATTGATACTTAAAAACAGTGAACTCTGGGTTTAAGCTCTATGTGTACTCTAAGGAGAGGAGTGACGGATGGGAGAAGTGGTAGGATCTGTGACTGAAGTTGCAGTTGGGGAAGACTTGCTGGAGCTAGGGAACTGGAAAAAGGGACGTAGACCGTGGGGAGCTTGAAATTAAGGTCGGCCCTGGAGTGGGCTGCAGGGAAGCTGTGGTTTTGATAAGAACAAGAAGGTGAAAGGAAGAATGGGAGAAGAGGTTGAAGGCATGGGGCTTCTATTGATGGTAGACTGTGAATTCCAGGCTTCTGAAAGTCTGCTCACTGATTCCCTTGCTTTGGCTCTTACTCCCTCACCTCTGCCTTTTAAACTCCAAACCAGATCCTGTCATTTCCCAGCTTAGCCGCCTCCACTAGGTTCCTTTTTAGAATTCAGTGTGACTCCCTTACTACTAGGGTCTGCCTATGAGGCTTTTCGTAGTCTGGCCCTTTGCTACTTTGCAGGCCTGTCTTGCCATTCTCCCTTTCGCTCTACGCCAGCCACATTGGCTTCCTTTCTGATTTAAAACTATCCTGGGCTTGGTCCTGCCTTGGGAACTTCGCATTTGCTGTTTTCTGAGTCTAGAATATTCTTCCCCAGATCTTTCCACAGCTGGCTCTTGCTTGATCGTGAAGTCCCAGCACATACACGTCTCCGTGGGATTATCCAGTCTGAAGAAGCCTCACCTCACTCACAATGACAACACTGTTTCATTGTCTTCATGGCCCCACCACTATTTGAACTGATCTTATTTCTCTCCTTCTTCCTTTATTAAAATGTGAGTTGCATAGGGACCTTGTTTTGGTCACTGCTGTATCCCCCCGAATCTGGAACAGTGCCTGGCAGATAGTAGGTATATGTTAAATGACTGGAGTGGACTGAGTGATTGGGAAACTCTACCAAGGGCAGGAGACTTGTGCGTTGAGATCATAAAAACGCTCATCAGCTGTGGACTGCTGGCCCTTCCCAGCCATGTCAGATTACTTGGTTTCAGACTGGCTTGGTTCTGGCCTAAGTTTAAACAAAACTAAGCTTCGGATCTGTGACTCACACTAAGCTCCCGGTACCGTTCAAAATTAGGAATTCTAAAGGGGGATGTTTTCTTATAACTGTAGAGCATCCCACTGTGTTTATTTTAAATGCCACAGATTTATTTAGAAAAATAACTTATTTTCTTTGTCGAGAAGGTTGAGCTTTTTGCATATGAGTCTAGAAAGTGGATTTGTTGGGGAGGGTGGGGCAAGAAGATGATCTTCATCTCCTTTTGATGGGGTGTTAAGAATAGACATCCAGTATAAGCAGATAAAAAGCAACTAGATAAACAATGAGCTCTAAAAAGTCTAGTATTTTATTGTTGGAACTTCAAATCCAACCTGTGATGAATTTGTCTGTGTGGGTGGAAAGTAAATTTTTGCAGACTGAATATCTTGGGTTTGGAAGCAGTTTCTCAGCTTCTCCCATATTGCAAAGCATAGCACATGTGTTCCGTTATGGATTTCCACAAAACTGGCAATCCCGAGCCAATGAACGGGTGAGGTTCCAAAAGTTCATTTGCAAGTTTGGCGCTCAGAACCCGTTTTCCCATAGAAACAATGTCATCAATTAAGGACCGGTTCCCACGTCAGCCCACAAAATTCAATTTATTTAATTTCAACAAGTATTTATTGAATGTCTACCAGGAACCCAATGTGGAAAGTCAGATAAGTAGGTGATACTGAGAGAGGTCAGTTGCTATTCTTGGGCTTAAGGAATTCACACATTAGCTAGGAGACAGACATGTCATTGGCCAATGTTTCTTCATTCAGTTGTACATCCAATCAACAGATACTGTTTGAGCACCTACAACGTGCTCAGCCCTGTGCTAGGTGCTTGGGGTACAATTCTTTCTTGCCTAAGTGGAACTTGCAACTTAGGGATGTAGATAGGTCTATTAGTCAGGTTTCTGCTGCAATAATACTAAGTAACAAACAAACTTGTAGCCATTTACAAGAACAAACATTTGTTTTCTGAGGTTTTTTTTTGCTCATGGTTCAACTTTAACGAGAGTGGAGGGTTGGGGGGCTCAAGCTACGGGTGGAGAGTTGGATTAGCTAGTGAACAATATAAACTGCGAAACAAAATAGAAACAGAGGCATGAATACATGGAATAGTCTGACAGCGGTCAAGGGAAAGGGGGGGTAGAGAGACGGGATGAAAGAAAATGAAGGGGTTAAGAAAAAAATGTATACATCGCACATAGACACAGGCAACACTGTGGTGATAGTCAGAGGGAAGGTGGGGCGGGGGGATAGGTGGAGGCGGGCAAAGGGGAGAAAATGGGGATGGAAGAAGACTCCGCCTGGGACAGTGGTGCATGATGTAGTGTGAGAATGATGTTTTATTGAGTTTGTACACTTCAAACCTGTGTGGTTTGGCGAACCAATGTCACCCCAATAAATTCAGTTAAAAAAAAAGAGTTTGATTCAGGTCTGCGTCACATACCTCCCGTTCTACACATGCCCTTCTCATGGCAGATAGCAGA